GTGTGTGTGTGTGTGTGTGTGTGTGTGTGTGTGTGTGTGCGTGTGCGTGTGCGTGTGCGTGTGTGCGTGTGTGTCACCTCTGCACCGAGTTTGGCTCCGTGAAGCAGCCCGTGGTTTCTGCCCTCGATGGTTCCCTGACGAGTTCCCGCCTCAAAACCTTCCTGATACGCTTCATCATAAAACCTAAAACAAGAGGGAAGTTATGAGCCTAACTACAACACCATTTACAGTAACAGTCACTCAACTAAACACACACTGAACTAACTTACTGACAGAGAAATGGGGGGAAAAAAACATTATGTGTATAACCGACGGGCTATTTTACCTGTCATCAGCCATGACAATGGAGTCAAATAAATCATCACTGTTGGACACAAAAGCCATTTTACAATAAAATGATTTGGTTTTCTATCCCGCAGTCTTCCCTGACGTTCAGCTGACAGACACTAACTTCCGGAATCGTTCTTCTTCGTTGCAGTTGGCCTGATGTTTACATGATGCGCCTGGACCACGGCGCCTCTTCTGGAAGGGAAAGTAAACCAAATCAAGTTTCATGTTTATGCTTGAACAAAATAAAGTGAGCTGTCACATTTGTTATAAACTGAAAGAAAGACTTTATCTTGAATTTTAAGGCAGAACATGTCATTTAATCATACTTACATGTTTCATTTACCTTCGTTTTAACTTTATTTATATTCAGAGCTACACTGAGGACCAAATCCCTCTTTTTTCAGGTGTCATAATTCAACAGGTAAGATTTTCATTTTCTTACTCCTCATTAATTGTGAATAAATACTTATTCTTGTCTGATTGTGAAAACAAACTTTTCTTGATTTTACTTCTTCAAATGAGTGTTTTGGGGACATGCTAGTATGCTAGCTGGCTCAGGAAATCAGGCAGTAAGGTGGTGCCACAAGGTTGTAACACTGTTGCAATAAGTGGACTGTGTTGGACCATGTTAACTGTACTGATTATGAGACAAATATCTACCAATACCGTGGAAATGATTAGAGCATAAAGTCGCAAAACTGCCATATATTATGTTTACATTAAAACATTTGAATACAATAAAGGGTAGGCCTATAAAATGTGTCAGTATACTAAATCTAATGTCTAATTTCGCAAGTAAAAATTAGTCATTTGTAAACTGTATCTGACATGGCTTTTCAAGCATTGTTCCTTGTCTTCAACTTTAATTTTAGAAAATGCATTTGTATGTTTTCATTCATTTACTGTACTAAAAAAAAACATTTATTTCTAAAACTATTCATTCAATTCATTAATACATGTAGGCCTAGCCTACTTTGCTTGCTTACAAAAGACGCCACATATGGGCTCCATCCATAATCTTAAGGTTGAGTTTGAATGAGGCTATATATTACATCAGGGATGGGCAACTTCAGTCCTGCGGGCCACTGTCCTGCAGAGATTATGCTCCAACCCTAATCAAACTCACCTGCCTGTAACTTTCTAGTGATCCTGAAGACCTTGATGAGCTTGTTCCGGTGTGTTTGATTAGGGTTGGAGCAAAACTCTGCAGGACAGCGGCCCTCCAGGATCGAAGTTGCCCAGCCCTGTATTACATATAACAGCATTATCTCAAAATGCAACTAAATACTATGCCAGAAGAGGGAGCCACAATTTTACAAAAACGTTATTCAAGGGTATCATGCAAGGACACGCTGTATATTCTGCTGTTTTTTATACCCACACATCTTTACAATACATCAGTATTTTGTGGAAGTACCATGCAGTTAACAATATCAAGAATAAAATATCTCCTCAGTTTTGAGGGTTTTTTTCTTCTGGCAATGAAAGATGAACAGCTGCTGCTTATATTTAAAAATGAAGCACTTCTGTCTTATCAGTTGTGATTTGCTGTAGATTTTGTCCACAGGCATTTAAGAAAACTATTTAAGCACATTTAGCATATCATTTATTACATTTCAAAAGTAATTTAACCATGATGTCCTCTTTCAGAAAGAACAAATAGTTGTATATTTATGAAATACAAAAAAAAAAAGATAAACAAAATATGTTTTTACAGTGCATTCTAGTCTAGATTAGGCTAGTAAATATTGTATTAACTAACGTTTTAAACAAGAATTACAAAGCAAGGTCATCACAGACACGTGGAAAAATAAATAAATTCAAGCTGCAGGTGATGCACCATTATGGTTGATCTTACAACAAACTTCAACATTTGGAGTGATTTTGTTTTTGTTTCCAGTCTATTACACTACATTTGTCCAGTGACTGTGTCCAGTGTTTCTAGCATTTCTAGCGTTTTCTCTTTCTGAAAGTCTGGCCCTGTGCTCTGGTTCATAGCAGGACTGATTTGATACAGTCTTCTGTTTCTTGACCTCTGGGTCGTTTCCTTAGAACATTCACAAGTGATTCTTCAGTCCTCATCTTTTGTTGAAACTGGGACTCTGGATCACAATTTGGGAGATCTTTCCAAAAGGGTCCATGCTGTCTATTTCAAGGCCCAACTGATGGTCCTGTTCAGGGTCAACAGAAAAACGCTGCTCCCCTGAAAGGTGGTTGGTAGGTTCCTGAGAAAGTGTGTTGACCATGGGCAGGAACTGGGATGCAGCATTCCCGTTGTTACTGTTCAACTTGCTTTTTGCACCACCCAAATTCACAAGGGCTCCATGTTTGCTTGAGATGTAGATGTTGTAACCATCTGGCATGATGCGTTCCAAAAAAGAGCAGTCCTCCTTAGTGTAAGTGTGCTGCAGACAAAAGCAACAGCATGAAAACTCACAAATATATGCAAAGAACCACAATATGGATATCTCATCAACCTGCCCTGCCCTGCATGTGGTTTAAGTTTTTTGATAGCTGTTTGCTCACCACATGGAGAGGTCAAGGTTGTTATTGCTGTTTCTTTTCAATGAGGTTTTAGCTATGCAAACATACCCCGCTATGGGCAAAGGTTGATGCAATGACACCACTCAAATCAGCATATTTGGACAGTTTTGTGAGAATCATTTTTGTATGCTGTTCTGGTCAATCAAGTAAATTGAGCAGTCAAGTACTCTCAAAGTCATATTTGCACTATTCATAATTTGTGATCAGTTGTTTTAATTGGTTTGGCAGCTGTTATAAATATCAGTTCCGTATCTAAGAGTGAAGGACAGATTTCTAGGACATTTACTCAAACGTTTATTCATTTTGGAGTTATATGCATGCTGATGACTTGTTTCTCCTGTCCTAAAATAATGTTCTTGGTTATAACGTCAGATGGGAGTAACGAACCCATGACCAGAACATAATGTCAATAAAGCTAGATGTCTGTGGCGAAATCGGCTTGTCTACACTTCCGCAGTCATAAAGGACATTGTGAGGTGACCTTAGCACAACAAGGTTATCTCTGACGAATGTGTGTAGTTTGTATTATGATTGGTGGCAGAGTGCCAAAGTTCCACTCTCTAAGAATTAAATTATTGCAATAAGTATGTCACTGTTCTAAAAAGAGTTTTAGAAAGTGCCCAGACTTGTAGCCTCAGTTGACCTCTGTCAGTAAGACAATATTGGCTACCTGAACTCTACTGTTTTTGACAAAATGGGCATTATCTTATGGGCAGGAATCTAAATGCACCTGCAAATAGCCTTAAACCCTCAACACAAATATGTCAGTTAATATGGTTCTTCAGGTAGATATGATTCTCAATAGAATTGCTAATACAAATAGAGAAGACTATTTTATAAGATTGTACATTCTATTGCGTCTGATTGTCAAACCTACCGATCCATACAGTTGTCTCATTCTGTCCATGCAGAGAAATCGGGAGCTTGCAACACCTTTAATGGCAACACAGCCCGTATCCACCGGTCGTATCTCAACTAAACCTTGAGGAAACAAAAGACGGTTTTTATTGAAGGCAATAAAAATAAAAATAAATTATTTTGTTTGCGCTGAAATTAAAAGCTCTAAAATCTTAATTTAAGCATTATTGGTCGGAAAATGTCTCACAAAGACGGGTTTGACATAAACAGGATTATAGAAATAGAAGATGCTCGTCAACTTAATTTAACTTTCCAGTCGCAATTCTAGGCCTAATATCTGCATCAAATTGCGTAGCACCGAAAAAGCATAGTGCATGTTGCAGAATAATATAATGATGCATGAAATCCACAAGTGAGGTAGTGAGTCAAAATAATAATAATAATAATAATAACAACAACAATAACTATAATAATCATAATAATAGTGCAGTTCATAGAAAAGGTGACTTAAGTTCAACCTTTCTGAATAGTTTTTTTATATATATATATATATATATAAAGTTTAAAGTCAGACATGTTTAGGTGGTGTAACTGCAGATTGTAGGCTAATAAATAAAGTCGAATTGAAAATCTGAAAATCAGTTAAAAGACAGGTAGTTTTTATAATCGTGCATTAGGCTATTATATCTAAAAAAAAAAACTACAATATTATTCATCTTTTCAAAACGAATAAATCAGAAATCAGAAAGAACATAATGATTCAATTGTGCACCCACGTGCTTTTTTACTTGATGGTTACACCACTTGACATTTTTTGTGGTATAGGCTTAGCCTATATGTTTAATACATATATTTGAAATCAATATCAATTTCAAAAATACACTTCTAAGAAATCGACACGTTTTTTAAATTGTATTTTAAAAGATTTTCCCTCTTTATCATTTCGGACATCTTTATTTGTCATTGACCCATATGCATGAAGCGCTGAGATAAGCGTAGTAACATGACATGACTGTCACTTACTGTCCGAACTTTGCATGTACGATCCGCTTATTTCCCCATCTGGGTTTATTTGCAGATGTAAACCGTGCCTGGCTGCATACAGATGTCGGAGCCGGACTGCTTCTCCCCAGTCATTTGCCAAATGTGGACCAGAGTCAGGCAACGGGACGCTCTCCACGCCGATGCTACTTCCACAAACAGTGACAAAGAGTAAGAGGAGCATTATTAACTTTTCTCTGTAGTAATTATAGGCTGTCTTGTTCTGATATGAATCCTGCACTCTCTTTCTCCTTTGTATTGCTCTGTTTTGGCGCAAGCTCTGCAGCTGGCCTTTAAATTGTCCTCTTATCAGATCAATCGATAAGCATTTCCCCTTTTTGGCAGTTCTGAGAACAGGGTAACACACCCCCGCTGGACATCCAACAGACGATGAAGACAGAATAAATGATCAAATGTTATCCTGTTATTGTTTTATTATAATGCATCTGTCATGCATACTCCGATTAATTTAACCATTTTCTCTCAGAGAGGCATTTCGAGGAGTCAGTGTCAGTCGAAGTGCACTTTCGAATTGCGTTCGGAAAAAAATGATATTTCATATTATCGTGTTCCATTGTTCCATATCCATGTAAGAAAGTTTATACATTTGAGAACTATCAAAATAATTTAAATGAATCATTCTAAAAAATAAATAAATAACATTGCTGATGAACTGGATCAAATATTAATAATATGTTGGGAAAAAAAGCTAACTTTTAAGATGTTACTAAATAGCATGCCAGATTACTCATGCCAGCTAGCGTTTCTTTTTTTTCTCTCTCTCTCTCTCTCGATAATTTCATTCAGTTTAGCCTATAGTTGTTTTGTTTTTTTTTAAAGATTTTTTGCGTTTTGAAGATTGCATTTGCATTTTTAATGTAGGCTATTCTTTAATAATTCGAAGGGGGGAAATAAATATTCACCCATATTAATTCGAAAAAAATCCCTGTGAATCTGTTTAACTTAACATGAGAACTCTGGAGTAGACTTAACCTACTATAACACATTTGCTCTGTTTTGTTTATCTATTTTTTGCGTATTGTGTCTATTTTGTGAATTGCTGAGGCCAATGGATTTACACGGAAGTTAAAGAGTAATCTTGAGTAAATATTCCCATTTATGTAAATGTTGAAAATGACCTATGTGCTTTTCATTGTAGACATGAGGTTGATCTTGCATTTAAAAAAATCGTAATTAGATATTTGTTTTATCTTAATCAACGTTCTTAGTTAGCCTATATAAGTCTTTACAGATATGTGACAATATATCCCTGTGCAATGTATTCTCACCAGACAGCCTTTGCAGGGTTCTTGCAATTCCACTTCCTTGCAGTGATCACTAGATGGCGCTCTGTAATCGCCGCACTTTGGCAATTTTGATGCTCCATACGATTTTTGGACTCGAATGACTCATTACGAAGAAGATTCAAATAAACGACATGTACTGAATGAAAAGGCATTCTTGATAATAATTTTTTTTTTTTACTTTTAATTCATAGTCAATTAAGAAGATCCATCAATATTATTATACTTATACATATATTATACATAAACATTCCCAAGTGTTTACTCATTTAAATGATGGATAATATATATCTTAAAACAGGTAATATCAAGCAAAACCTAAACAAATCAGTTAATATCATACAAAACTTAAGAAATGAAATGAGAAATGAATGAATGGTTCATTTGTTCTGCTAAGTCACCAAGTTACCCTTAGAGTTTCCATCATTATCTCATCATTTGTGTGACATTAATGTATTCATTATTATAAGTATTCAGTGATGCCACATCACGTTGAAAGCTTGGCTTTGTGCTGTTTGTCAAAAATGTGCAGAGGAAGTGATGTAAGTCTGAATGCTGGCCTATGCTGTCATTCAGTTTGCTCCTAAAAAATTCTGGTGCCTCTGAACAAAAACACTATCGTAATTACAGAGGAAATCTCTAATTCACACACCAGTCCATTCATTGGTCAGTCTGTACATTCATTCATGAAATATGCCAGTTTGAACCAAACCCATTGGGCTGTGCAAGAAAATGTATAATTGATTATGCAGACCCAGTAGATCAAAGGTCCTTGTCTTCCACATTGCCTCTCAATGAACTCTATTCTGAACAAGCAAACAAGGGACGTTAAATCATGACAGAAGTATTGTATAGAATATGATAACCCTTACAGAGAGGCATGCGAACATGTTATTTTTGTAAGGCATTCTTGATAATAATTTTTTTTTTTTACTTTTAATTCATAGTCAATTAAGAAGATCCATCAATATTATTATACTTATACATATATTATACATAAACATTCCCAAGTGTTTACTCATTTAAATGATGGATAATATATATCTTAAAACAGGTAATATCAAGCAAAACCTAAACAAATCAGTTAATATCATACAAAACTTAAGAAATGAAATGAGAAATGAATGAATGGTTCATTTGTTCTGCTAAGTCACCAAGTTACCCTTAGAGTTTCCATCATTATCTCATCATTTGTGTGACATTAATGTATTCATTATTATAAGTATTCAGTGATGCCACATCACGTTGAAAGCTTGGCTTTGTGCTGTTTGTCAAAAATGTGCAGAGGAAGTGATGTAAGTCTGAATGCTGGCCTATGCTGTCATTCAGTTTGCTCCTAAAAAATTCTGGTGCCTCTGAACAAAAACACTATCGTAATTACAGAGGAAATCTCTAATTCACACACCAGTCCATTCATTGGTCAGTCTGTACATTCATTCATGAAATATGCCAGTTTGAACCAAACCCACTGGGCTGTGCAAGAAAATGTATAATTGATTATGCAGACCCAGTAGATCAAAGGTCCTTGTCTTCCACATTGCAACAAGGGACGTTAAATCATGACAGAAGTATTGTATAGAATATGATAACCCTTAAAGAGAGGCATGCGAACATGTTATTTTTGTGTCTTTCCTTCACAAATGTGCAGAGTTATGCATTTTGAGCTACCTGGGGAGATCCCCTGTTAAGTAAACAAGCATAATCAGATGTAGTGTTTACTTTTGTGTCAATGCTGCTTTATGACTCACATAAGAGTAAAATACATATTGCCAGTGGTTTGCACAGTTTGACCTCCTTCATTTCAGATGCCCCCTTTATTGAAATGAAAGCTCACCTAGAATGTAACAGTTCTAATGACAAGTGAAACTTGTCATAAATTCCCACAATATATGCCAATATAATCTGGATTACATAATCAGAATTCTACTTCTTATTAGATTATATTATGTTTTAAAATGCTCCAGTTCAGTTACGTTTTTATTAATGATATGGTTACTTAATATTCACAAACTGCCAATGAATTATTCATAATTCATTGATTCTCCCTAATTAATCTGTTTTATGTTTAAAAACGTTCTTTGTTTGGGAAGTCTTCCAGTTTTAACTAGTCAGGCAGCTATACTTACACAGAAAATTGAGAGATCACACAACATAAACAAATAAAATGTTTCATCATTTTTGAAAGGGTTTTATTTTGATTCTTTTTATATTTAAAATGATTTCTTTTGATTTAACACTTTTTAGGATTTTATTAATGATTATTTTCATCTTGTTGAAAACAAAGAATCGACTAAGTTTTCTTTCTCTTTGTGTTGTTTTTTTTTAATATCTTTATGGTTTAAGATTGCCTTATTCAAAAATGATAGGTCAAAAGTAATCTAAAAGTAATTTGTGTCAATAATGGACTACGATTTGTACATAATCTACCCAAAGGTATAGTTTATATACATTCAAGCTGTTCAGTGCTTTTGACATGTTCTGTGGAATAATAATTTTTTTTTCTCAGTGATTGTTTATATTTACTGAGAAAATTAATGAATATATAAGAACTCTTAAGTGTTCTTATATAAGTGTTCAAATAACACTCTAAGTGTTCAAAGGTCTGTAAAACTACAATACATTGTAAAATTGTTTAAAATTATTTAAAAACTATTGTGGAAAAAACAGTGTTATGTGTAAATATGTTATAAAGGCAACATTTTGGGCAATATTTGGGTTATATTTGGCAACATCATCACTGTTTAACTTAATTTTAATCATAATTTTCCATGAGAGATATTTAATTATTTTGTATTACTTCAGAGTGATAAAGGCAAAACTGTGTTGCCACTGCAAGTTCAACTCCCTCTTATGATGCCAAGGTATATGCAAATTATACAGTTTCACTCTTTTTTTAAGTCGTACATTTGAACTGTTTCAAATGTTTAAGCAATGGATTTATGTGATGAATACCCTTTGGTGTCTGGACAACACAAAATCACAAAAGATTGTGATTTGTCAGTTTTCAGTTCAATAGTCTCAACAAAAACTTATAGATCAGGTAAAATATAGTATCTGAATTTTCAAATAGTTTCAAATTGATATCTGTTAGTTGAACAATGCATATTTATTTCATGTATCATGACAGTTTCAGTATAGTAAGAAGCAGTTCTATTTTTGAGGCCACTACATCTGCACACATTTTACTCGTGTTGCCCTCTTGTGGAAACCTCAAAGATTTGCTTCAAGTGTGATATGCAGAACAGACTTGCAAAGTCATATCAACAAAACTGGTTGATGTAGCCTTTTATATGTCTATCCTTAGTTCCCTTAATAATCCAGAGGATGTTTTGCAATTAATTCCAGTGTTAGATTACACGCTTGAGTTCTTTACGGACATAGGGTTGGATGAGGTGGTTTTGTTTATGTTGGGGAAACACAGGCTTGATTAAACCTCTGTAGTATTTGTATGTCGGTGCTGCATGCAGGTAGTCACTATTCGCTTTGAAGCCCTCAAAGTGTGTTTTGACTAGGTGCCTCTTGTTCCATGTTGTGCCAACATGACCCACTTTGTTGGTGTTACTTTAATTAAAGCCATGTGAAATCCTCCGCTCTTGTTCTGTACAAAGGTCTGGGCCTTTAAAGCTATAAAGATCAGGGAGCTTAACTGTGTTTTGTTTTTTTCAGTTTATCTTAGCTGCAAATAATGGTTCATACACTGAAACACACACACACACACAAAGATTTGTATAAGTTGTAAATAAAACAAAGATACTGGTGTATGTTTCACAAGAAAATACTATTTAACTCTTTCTACTTAAAAAAATAGT